GTATAAATCTAAATTTTCGAAAAATTTACCCTTATGACTGGTTTTGTGGTCCAGGCTCACTCTCACGATAACAACTTTTTGTTGTGCGATATATTGCCCCAGAAATAATTGCGATAAGCAATATTATTGTCATTTTAAAGACCATTTTTTGCCACTGAATATATAACCATAATGTAACAGCATAATAATGCAAGGCCTACACACTTCCAAATGACAACAAACTTTTACTTTAAGAATATTTAGATTATGGAAATGAAGTATCAAAATATTAGATGCCTTAAAAAACCTGAATAAATACTAAATAAACATTTTCTAACAAAACGTGCAAAGTAACAAGTACTAAAAAGAAAACTGCACAAAGAACTTGTATGGAGATTTTTCCATCTACAGATTTTCTCCTGACCTTCTTTTCTCTGTAAATTAAGGGTGCACTGTATTGCTGAAAAACACAATCTCTACATAGCAGTCAGATGTCCATATGCACAAAGGCACAGATCCCTAAACAAGACCATATCTGCAGATTAAACTTTTTGTAGAAGCATTTTTAAAATTTGAACTAGCACCTCATGACTACACCGCGTTATGTACGAGAAGCTGCAAAAGAGACAGGCGCAAGTGGAATGCAAAAAAAACATGGTGACATAAATTTTTAAGTAAATATAATGGGCGATATATTGCGTCACTAAAAATTAGAGGTCATGTACATATATTGCGTGATAAGTCGATATATTGATTATTGCGACAGGCCTAGTCACATAGATACTGTATTTGAGACCAATAAGATTTGCATTGAATTTTTTGACAGTTAAATACCTAAAATTCTCATCATCAAAATTTTTAACAAACTTCATGTAAAACATTATTGCTCAGGGTTCCTACCTGTATAATTAAAACTAAAACCAAAACCATAAAATACATTATTATTACTTAACAGAAATGTTACCGGTAATAAAATAATACTAATACTATGATAGTATCTCAATGGTATGAAAAGAACAACACGCAAGTCATTTTTCCCTTTTTCCCCCCCACCGGGGTTTTTTTTTTTGCTTTTTTTTTTTTTTTTTTTTTTTTTTTTTTTTTACAAAAGTTTATTGCCCCCCCCAGAATATTTTGTTGTATGAATATCTGAACATGCAATGTCAAAACAAAGAACAGAGGCTCTGCTTAAACAAAACAATAAACACGATAATAAATTGTCCAGATGCATTACAATGTGAAAAAAACATTTAGTTTCCTAATTATCTGTCTTTCTATCATTTAAAAAAAGTTTTTTTTTTTTATTGGGACCAATAATTAGTTATTACAATTCTCATTACTAAAATGCATATATATATATATATATATATATATATATATATATATATA